GGCAAAGCACAGGGACCGCGGTTCAATCCCCCAGCACCACATGCCAGCCAGCCCCGCCCCCTGGTGGGCTGAACTGGACACACACACACACACACACACACACACACACACACACACACAAATATTAAAAAAAGTTCAGCTGTGAACTTGCTCTCTAGCCCAAGTTGGCCTGTAACTCATGGCCATCCTTCTCCTGTTTACAGCCTCCCAATGGCTGGGATTTCAGTCACCAGCCACCTGCCACCTAGCCCAGTCTCATTCGCAGTCACAGCAGGCCCCAGGGGAGGGACCTGCACTCCAGGCCCAGAAATCTAATACCCCCTACTCCCACTGCCTGCCCCTGAACCTGCTTGCAGATACTTTAATCTGCTGAGCTATTTGGCTGGCCCAGCTTTTATAGTTTTTATTTTTCTTTATTTTTTCTTTATTTTTTTATTTTTTTGTACTTGAGGGAAGGGTCTACACGGTTTCAGGGTTTCACTACTAGATCGGACTCCTAGTGATCCTAGTATAAACACCTGTTTACAGCCTCCCAAGAGCCAGTCTCATTTGTCCTCTCAGCGCGCCCCGCCCCGGGGATGGAGGCAGGGGCCAGGTGGCACAGCAGGCCCAGGAATCAGCCCCTATGCCTGCTTGCAAGCGCTTTAATCCGCTGAGCAATTTGGCCAGCCCTATAGATTTTAGAAAACTTTTGCAGTGTAATTAATAGAGATCTCAAAAACTAAAAATCAAAAGGAATAAAACTTTTAACACCCATGATGGCACAGTTATTAAAATGGGCACTAGGCTGACACTGCCCATCTTATGTGATTGGGATATCCAGGTATACTGGCTTTTCATAGTTGCTTTGATAGCTGTAGTTGTTGGATAGTCACAGTGGGGTAATTTTCACTATTTCCAGGGGCTAGCCTGGCCAGATTTGGTGCAGAAAGGGATCATCTCTAAGGATAGTGTTGCCAGCCTGGAAGATGTGAAAGAAATCACCAGGAGAGGTGGTCCTCTGGGGACTGCGGCTAATGAGGGGTGTAAAGAGAACTTTGGGCAGTGGGGGAAATGGGTGTTGGGAGGCTGAAGAGAGCTCAGAGGCTGACTAATCAGGGAGAGGTCTGGCGGGGAGGGGGATCAAGAGGACCTCAGGGAGTCACACATGCACCTGGTGTGTGGTGGAGTGGCCAGGGGGAGTTGGGAGAGTGAATGGCAATGACCCCTGGTTAGAGGGGCAGTGGATGGCTCAAGCTCTGGGGATGGGACCCTGGAAGGCAGCTCTGGGTGTGTAGGATGGGTGCATACCAGCTAGTTAGTGGAGGCCCACAGCTCCAGGGATTGCGTCAGGGGAGGGCGCCATGCAGGCTGCCTGGGGTTGCCATGGCCCGGGACTCACAGGCAAGCTCTGCTAAGGGACGTGGCCTGTGTTTGGGTGCTGCTGTGGGTTTCAACGGGGTAAGGTGTGTGTTGCACAGACTTCTGCTAATTACACATTAAGGAAAACTCAATAGTATTGTACGTGGTCATCCAGAGGCACTGGGGCTTCAGACTGGGGAAAGGTGAAGTTTGAGATTCTGCAGAAGGCAGGCTAGCAGACGGGGGTGTCTGCACAGTTTTGATTGATTGATTGATTGATTGATTGATTGAGCACCAATAGAGGTATGAGACAAAAAGAAGGTAGGAGAATTTCCCACTGGGCGCACATGTAGGTGTTTGTCAGATACATACCTGGTGTGGCGAAAGGAGGTGCAGCAGGACCTATACTGAACGTCCTCAGTCATCATCACCTGATGGGGCATAACTACTCTCCCTGCAGAATGCACAAGTGATAGTACGAGGTTTATGGGGGGAAGGATAAGTGGGCTTTTATTGCTTCAAAGAATGAGAGAAGAAGCAGAACTTAGAGGAAATGGACTGCGGAGAGAAGGGAGGTTTAGTGGAGTGGGGTTAAATTTCAGAGAAAAACCCCTGAAGGCCAAAAGCAGTGGCTCTGGGAACTTGAAAGCAGCTGCCTGCACAACCGGCCTGGAGTGGGGGGAGGAGGGGTGCTGGGTGGGCCTAGACCTTGCAGAACGTTGGAAGCCCAGAATGGGAAGCCAGGTGACCAGACCTGAAGCACTCAGATAACTGGGAGATAAAGCTGCCTGGATATAGATCATCTTAGAGGCAGGGTTAGGGAGAAAAAGAAAGAAGGAGAGGGAAACTGGGGGACTTACTCAATCTGAAATGTCCAGCAGGGGCCAGGGAGATGGCTCAGTGGAATAAGCGTTTCTCTGAAATGTCCAGCAATATCTGGTATGCAGAAGTGGCAGGAGGCATAGGTACTGTGGTCTGAGGATGTGGCCAGGTGGCTTTGCTTGGGGTCGAGGTTCAAGAGAGCTTAAACACTTCCAAAGAGGGTTTGTTTTCCTTCCTGGATCTTGGCACAAAATTGTAGCATAATTTTTTCCCTTCTTGGGCTTTGGCATAAAAATGGATATATAACCCTCAGAGACCACCAGGCTTGTACAAATGCAACATGGTACAGTTTTTACTGTGCCTGGGTTCTGGCAGAGTGCAAGAAGAACTGCCTAGAACAAAGAAGTGTGTCCCTTATACAGATATTGAGAAAAAGCAGGGGACATCAGGAAGGAAAATTCCAATGAAAATAATAGTTTAAGTTTTCTGGCAATGTGGCATCTATCTCACTGAACTGAGTCCTTTGAAGTGTTAGCTGTAAATTCTTGGGTGTCTCCACGACCTGCAAATTTGCTTGTCCTACCTTTTCTCCTTTCCTTGGTGTTTCACCTGTGACAGTCTCAGTACAGAGCTTTGTTCCCTGCAAAGAGCAGTGTTTCTGCTGGCCAACAGGCTGGGACTCAGGAAATGTGTTTATCTCTTTATTATTAGTATTTATCTATTTATTTATTAGTTATTTATTTATTTTTGTGGTACCAGGGATTGAACTCAGGACCCTATGCTTGCCAGGCAGGCACTTATTCTACAGATCTATCTCCACAGGCCCTGTGTTTATCTTTAATACTCAAGCATTTTCTGGAAAAAGTCTGAAGTTTCTCTAAGGCAATTGGAATACTTGCTTTTATCTTTATTCTTACAGAATATTGCCGTCATGCTACTCCCATGTCTTTACACAAAACTTGTGTTCTTCTTAGGGGCCTTATATTCATCTTGGTGCATAAAAACAAGTAGATGAAGAGACAATGTGAAAATATTGGCAATGACAGTGACTGCCTCACTTCCAACAGCAAGTCTTGCTTCTAATCCATTTTCCCTAGGCTTCCACGGACTCACGATGC